ATGGTACATATAAAAATTTTCAAGATTGAAGGTGTGTGGAGGCTATGGTAAGTGAAAAAAATGAACCATCTGTGAATGAATAAAGTTAGTTTCCTTTCACACAGTAAGTTTAACCTCACTACAATATCATGATGGTATGAAAGAATGTTATCGCTATATCTATCCTATCTTTTCGCTATTTTATCAAGATAACCTACAACTTGATAACTCAGGCTTTTACATTATAGTCTGGTGACTGAGAATAGTGATGAAAAACGATAGTTAATGAGTGATGTAGTTATTTTCGTTTCTTAACTGTTCACACTCTTTCGATGCACTTTTTATTTAAATCAATAACCTTCCCGGTTATGCTTTTGACTTTTCCTCAATCATTCGTACCTATTCCACCCTGTTACACACAAAAACGTGTTGTACTCTACTACCGTATTCTTTTGTCTGGAGACGTTTTGACTACAATACATTCTAGTAATAGCATCTAGTATAGGTTTTATCTACCAACTTACAACACGTTTGACTGTTCCACTACAAAACATCCAGTATTTTTAAAAGTTTGTATCCTAATGCTTCGTTGCTTCTTCGTTTTTCGCTTTGAGCATAATGTTGTCATTTGTGAACAGATCTCAAAACCTGTAAACTCATAGTTTACTACTAACGCACCAACCTTATTACTATCTCTGTCGTATATTTGCACGGATATTTTGATTTTTTTTTTCATTTTTTTACCCATTTAGTAATCATAATTGTTAAGCATGTTATCTGTTGAACAATGTTGTAAATTATTGATCACATATGTAAAAATGGCGTGTACCTGTTCTGTCAGAAATTTGTATAATTATTATTGTTTCATTTATTTTGGTTTTTACTGGAATGTAATTTATTGACTTTTGTAACAGTATGTTAACAAGTGCACACTTGGTCGGATTGTCCAAAATGTGTATTTCAAATACACTATATTTTCAAAACATATCCATGTGCACATTATAATCATGTTTTGTGGCTCAACACTCCCGTAGTCCGAGATTTAGCTGATTTGGACAGACGAATAAATATATCATGAACATGAATTTTCCGTTCAATTCCGTCTTTTATATCTAGGCTAACCCCTTCTGAGCAACGGCAATTATCAGGAGCCAAGTAAGATTAGGTTGAATAAATTTACCCCATGAGGTCGTTTGCTTACAGAAGTGGGAAAGCAGGCAGTTCAGCTTCTTTAATAAAGCTTAACTTATTGTTTTTAGTCAGAGAGCAAAACAGACTGAAGATACATGATGAATACAGTGATCGATGTAGAGACATATTTTGACATTAAAACATTTAAAGTTACCAGAGAAAAGATTGACAAGGTCAAAATATATGTAGATGTTTAGCTATACAAGGAAAGTTAATTCGCCGAAATAATCCATAGAGGCTCGACATGATACAAGACACTACACACGTGCAATGAATATGGGGTCATTAGTTAAAATTTAACACATATTAAGAATGTGGATTTTAAGTCACTGAACACTGCTTTTATCTTTACTCTATCTTTGATTTAGACCTGATAGCAAAAACAAACACCTCACATTGGATAATATCAAGATAGCTGAGGTTTTGAGAACATTGATCTTGTTCGATCGCACTAAAATTTCGTTTTCTGGTGCCAGAGTTTACATTTTAAGGATATTTTTGTGACTTGTGTTGTGTCTGGGATTTGCAACCGGTGTTAGAGGTCCAGAGTCAGCGAATGTTTCTAAAAAATATTGTGTGTACTTTTCCAAATTATTGTTATCCAGACAGGTGTAAATGACGTTGTCGCCAATATAATAATGATAATAATATATTTCTGCATGAGCAGGTAATGGTGAATGATTTTATCTTTATTGCTGAATAAACCGATTCTTGTGTCATTGTTCGTGTACTAATTCTGGTTTGGCAGTTAAAAAGTTGATTGCACATATTTTATTCTCTATTTGAACGGGAATACTTCAACAGCGACAAGTGTTATCAAAAAGGATGGCGTACTAGAAATGTCGATACATTATTGTTTCCATATTGTTTCTTTCAGCTGGCTTTTATAAAGTGATATAGGCTAGCGCTTACATTTGGATATAATTAACGAAATAAAAAGCAGCAAGGAATCTGTACGCTCAAAAGTATTGGATCTATTAATTACTTTATTACTCTTTAGAATGTAAAGTTAGCTATAAAGCTCAGAATTAGAGAAATTTCAATGCATCTGTTCTGTATGCGTTTTTAGGAACTACGCTACGAGTTCCAATGGAAGACCGAGAAGATTAAGATCAACAACGTTTTTGAAATAACGTAGTTAAAAAGGTAAAAATGTATAAAAGTGGTGTGCAAGTACGAAGTAAGACAAATCTTGAACAGTAGGTTTTCATAATTCACGGGCAAAATTTATCATAACATTCATCAAGTCAAATTTGTACAATAATAAAGTAACTGCTACAAATGAATAAACAATATGCTACCAGAAAATAGACAGTTTAGTCTAGTTTCTCACTGAAACGCTGATAATCCGCTGTAAAATAAGAATTATTCAAGGAATGCAAGAATAACAAAATGATGAGTATTTCGAACATACAGGGAACTCAGTTCAGTCTCAGAAAACGGTACATAAGCGATCAATTCACGCATGAGAAATCGAACCATAATAATTCAGTAATACACCCACAGAAAGACATTTTCAAGTGAAGAAAAAATGAGTTATGATGAAACTTAGAGATCAATAAGAGAAACGTTACTTACAAAAGAAATAAAGAAATATTTCCATATGAAGTGCGTTCCTGTGGGATTTTTACTCAAATATAAATACATATAAGCCTCTTTCCCTGGTGTTCTTGGAGAATAATTGTAGATGACCCGCGATTCTGCAAAAACAAAATCGTGATCAGTGAAATTCGATTATGCAACATCAGGTATGAATTGCCTAGATTTTTTACTTTTTTGTGCCGGTAGATACCCATCGTTTTGTCTATAGAAGAAGCTGGATTACTGAATACAATAGATATTTAATCAGATGGTGGGCCAAAACATTTGTAGCCGGAGGTTCGCTTTTTAGACCCAAGACAGTTTCAACATTCAATGTAGAATAATGAGAATTACAATGAGTAAGAAAATAAGGAAATTATAAACAGTTCAGCTACAATGTCTTGACATTAGCAGAGTATTTTCGGTCAACTCGTAACTAGCCATATCAAGTTGTTATAACTCCATGAATTAACCAATCGTCTCATAATTGAGCTCATATGTGATAAATTGACAAAGCGAACAATTTTACAAGAAGATTAGTATAAAACTAGAACTTGGTTTAAATTATCAAAGCGGTGCCGCATCTTAGAATTCATCCCTAAGGATCGATCGTAGATGTCTATATTATTTCTGATAATCTTTATTCGTTAAATAGCTGTTCTTGTATCACAGCGATGCTAACGGATTCAGGAAAAAACAAAAACTGACCAAACAAATAGAATCACCGGGTCATATATTCAATCTAACTATTTCACTTACTTGTGGTATAGGAAATAATAGATAAACAATAAGATCAACTTTGGTGTTTTTTAGTTTCTTGAATAGATTTCACTTCAAATAGACCATATTTTTTGGCAGTTTTTCCTGAAAGCCAAAAATACAGTAAGAAACACAAAACAAGAAAATTTTGATTTCTTTAACTCCACTAGCGTATACGTAAACTGATAAAGTCCTCTTATTCAACAATCGGTCGAGTCGCTCACATATTAGTGTGAAAGTAGACGTTTTGCAGATATCGTTTATTCCATAGCTTATGATGATCCTAGGTACACTTATGTGACTACATTCTTTAGACAAAAAAACGTAAATTGTTGTCAGAGTAACTGTCAAAACCAGTAAATTGCAATAAAACTGGCCATATCTTGTTGTATGACGGGGTAGGTATATTAGATTCTGGTCATTTTGTATTTTTCAAAAATTTTGGACAGAGTTTCTCACTCCTCAAAACTTTCAAAATGAATCTTGCAATACGTTAGGCAGCATAACATGCACAACCTTTGGTCTGTACTCTTGTATAACCAGAGAAATTTTACCGAGGCCTAGCCAAAAGATAATTCAGTCCGGCCATTTAATATTTAATATTTAGATGATCCTCGCCAAGGTCAACCGACGCTCATCAATATATTGGATGCCACGGACCGGCCCTTCCTGAAGTGGCCTCACTATATTCCTTGTACCTACTCTTATTGAAATATTTCTATAATAACGTTGTTCGTGTTGTATGGTCATCAGCCACATTACGTGGAAGTGACGAAAGGGTAATCCAGCTTGGATATTAGTCATGAAGTGGTAATTTGACGTAAGCTGGGATGTCACATCGTTCACGTTATACTCGAGTAAGCTTCTAACGATCGTCACAGGAAACCCACGTTGGCGATGTGCACGCTCTGTAGTCAGATTTTCTTATAATTGTTGTAAAATTGGAAACCACTAGTTAGTATAACACTATTGAGGGAAATTTTTTACAATAAGTCGAGAGACTGAACTTGGAGTGAACTCAATGCTTTCTGTCCAAGCATTTTCAACAAAATATCAGAATTATCAAACGTGAAATAAATGTGCTAAAATAACTGTGTAGATATGGGTACGTAGAAAATTCATTGACCACATAACGTTTGATTAGGAAGTTACTAAACAGGTCTAATGTTTGCCCATATTTCCTTGGAAAGTTTGCTTCAGATTGCCAACTGAAGCGTTCTGTCAGAGATTTTCAAAAAGAGGATGTCCTTCCCAATGAATTAAACGAATTCGGCGTCCAACTACTGTAAACCTATTTTCATCTCATCAGGCTTAGGAAATTCATCTTGCCCTTTGTTTCAAATGTGTTGTATGTGATATGATGTTACCATAAGTACAACACTATAAGGTTCACCTTTCGTGGTGTTTGAGTGTACTAAAATGTGACCTTGAGCTCGAGCGATGTTATAACTGTATTTCAAGTATCACAGGATAACGTGTGGTAGCTCAATATGCCACGCTGTCGTAAAGAAAAAAAGATTCCGTACAGAGATGATATGGTGCAAAACGTAAGAAGTTCTTTTATTAGAGAAGGAGAAAGTAACTTGCGCAATTACTCGGAACCTGTTGACGATCGCATGAAAGTAAGTTTATACTGATGATTGCATTTTATTGTCTATCTCAGATTTAGAGATGTATTTATATAAGATTCAGTTTATTGTGTGCTAGCCAGCATTTTAGACCCGAGAAGAAGCGTTTATCTAGTCAGACAAAAACTTCTAGTCGTGATTATTTTTAAATGAAAAGAATATTACATATTACACTGCATATAACATTTTTTCATTGTTTTGTCGTTTATCAGAAAAATATATGACAACTCACTAAGGAATAAAGTGAAGAAGTCCAGTGTGACATACTTTTGAATCTTATATATATTATTTCCTTAGTTACATTTGCTAACCTCCCTAATAAGTATTTGTGAACGAACATGTTAATCATAAAAATGTAAAAATCCTTTATTTGCTCAGAAGGATTTGAACACCAAGATTATTCTATAAGGTTATTCGAATTCGTCATGATTTTTATTCAACACTTAGTGCTCTTCTCTGGGAAAAATCATTATGTGGGAGTGAAGCATAAAATGTGTTAAAAACAAATAGTTCGAATGTTGCTCATAATATGAATTTTGATTCATGTGCCTGGTTTTTGACCACGTCTATATGTGTCACAACATGGTTGACTAAAATAAATTGAGAGGAGCGAGTTGTTAGTATACGGTATACCTTAGTCATGAGCTTTAGCTCTTTATCTACCATTCTTTGTGAAAGTGAATTTTAGCCCCTGAGATTCAAGATGGCTTTATTCATTAAAATAGATACTGCTATTTGTTAACTCGTTTGTACGAAATCGTCTTATCTGAATTGCATTAACCTCAGGGATTTATTAAAGTTATAGATGCTTTTATCTGATATTCATGGAATAAAATTCTTAACTTGTCGTAACAATATAATATAGAGTTAGTTCATATCTCATTTTCGTCAGTTCAAATGCGTTTCTAACCGCGAAAGTAGTTTGAAGTGATTTTAAACAACTTAATTTCAGAGTTTTGCAAACTTTATTAACGAATAATTCCGTTTTTTAACATAAGTGTCGTTACCTAGAAAGATGACTGCGCTCAGTTTTATGTCACTTGTCAGATAATTGAGTGTTTATTTAGTATGTCTTTGGAAAACTCTCGATATTTATATCAGGTTTTTCTCTTATTTATATAAAGGTGAAACTGTAATATAGTAAGGTTTCACAATTTGTGTACCTGCTACAGAAGTGACATTGACAATCACACAACATTTTCGGAAGCTTTACTTAGAGCTTATACTGAGCTGATAAACTAGAAGTTTATGCATTTTGTTTGCATTCATCATATTTTGGTTTATGGCTCGGATTTTAAAAATGTAATTCAAAAACATAATATGCTTTGAGTTTACAAAATGTTTTTGAGATTTGGTTAACCTTTCCGTAGATGCTTTATGCACTTACTTCATTTATTCGTCCAGTTATTACTTTGGTTTTTAAATCCACTTTGTCTATTCAGGTATGGAACCAAAGTGACAATCTATGGAATCTGTGACCTGTCTTAGACATAGACCTATGTTTGAAAATCCATAGATTAGTTTCAGTTGGTCATATGTAACTTAAAACTTAATAGACATATATGTATATATTGGTTCACGTTATAATACTGCACTAACTCTGCTAAGTAAAATTATTTTTAAACAAATACCAGAGTAGTAGAGGTAACAAAAATACCAGGATTATTAGACAAAATTTAGGTAATAAAAAAGCGGTTAAAAGGTTTCATGACATTTTAGGACCCATATTTTACGAAAAGGGCAATAACAAACGCACCTGCTCTACTGAAGGAGATTCCAAACCATGTCACACAAAGCCTTCAACCACGAGTTATGATAGTCACTTGAAACCCATTCTGTTAGTCTACACCTATTTATGTGTCTCAGTCCAGTTTTTAGCCACTCCAAGAACTAGTGCCACGTCATGGTTCGGTTGTTCTAAATATTTTTCTAGCCAATTTCAACAGCAGGCAACATCGTCCGTCATTTGACCCCATCTAGTCAGTATGAAGAACCCGCACAACTTATCCTTCGTGTATTCGGGGTCTTCATTGTTACTTTTCGTCTTCTCTGGAGTAATTATGATATGAAGTGAAAAAGCCGAACAAATGATTTTTGGATGGATTCTGGTAGGCAGTCGTTTAAGCTTTGTTCGACAAAACGGGACAGCGAGAGTTCAGAAAGATACTGACGCATGACTTTGGTTTTTCGCTATCTTCGTTTAGTCGCTCACTGATTACATTCGGATTAGGCAAAAGACGAATTTTATTGAAGGCTTTTCATTATACTTCAATAAGCTAAATAATCAGATGTAATAATAGTGCTGGTGGTTTTGATGTCCAAGTAGGTGGTATAAACCGGACTAAAAGGCACTTAGATTAGTTGAAGACAATAATCTTTTGGATTATATAGTTAAAGAAAAAAACACACACAAACGATACACTAGAGATATTTATGTTGAATAGAACGATAAATATATGTACGATATTATGTATTTGGACATGATTTTTGAAGGAAAGAGGTTTAATTACACCGTTTTTGAACTGCTTTTCTAAAAACCTCTGTTGGTGGTGATTGCGTTTAATTGTGTTTTTGATTAACGCGTGGGGATAAATAAGTAAATGGTATCTTGTTCGATCTTGTGTGCTTACTTAGAGGTTAGTGTTAAAATGTTTTGTGACATTTTTGCCTCCTCTAACAAAACGAATAAAAGTTACAGACAATGATTTCCTTTTAAATCAGAACATATCTCGGAATGTCCAGAACTTAGATTCTATTGCTTATTCAATATGAATTATATTCTAAGCTACTTTATTTGATGCCAAATTATTTATTTATATGCAATCTATTGTTAAACCAGCCTATGGATTCAAAATTAGTACACATAAATTTAAAAAAATGATTTGATTCACTCAATAACTTTATCGAACATTCAGTAAAAGGAAATTCAGTCTTGCAAGCGTTTTAGAAGGTATTTGAATAATGATTTTTTTCTGCATTCGAACATGGTAGACTTTATTGCTTGGTCGATTGGACGCCTGATCTTACAAACTTTCCCTATAACTTTTGCAATGAATTAAAATCGACGGACTGCATTGTTTGCATGTAGTCACTTACATTACTTAAGTCAATATATATTGCTCGAATAGTCATCCTAATTATTTGAACACGCACTTCAGATGTATACATTATAAGTTATACCTAAAAATTTAGAAGTATGCTCTAAGTAACTATTCAGGTGGGCTACTTAAAAGCATTGATTATTAGTCCCTGAGAGTACTTCGTTCCTGATTAAATCATATAATTAGCTAATAAGTTGGATAATTGATCAAGATAAAAGTTTGATATTGATACTGATTCGTTAAAATTTAAATGAAATTTATCCAGCAGGTGTTTTACAGAGGTGTGCCAGAAAATGTTATGAAAGAACAAATACATGGACAACGTTTCTATAGAGGACAGCCAACTGAGGGTCAAAACATGAATAATTATATGGTAAATTCATTTTGACGAGATACATTCCGATTACACTCGCTAGTTTTCCATGCACTTCAGTTTTGCTTGCTTTTTTCAGTTAACATTTTACCAACTTTTTTGCCCTAAGACTATGAAACACCACGTTGTGATCACAACTTTGAAGCAAGCCTTAATTTTTAAATTGATGCAGATTTGAACTTTAACTAGTATTATAACACGAAAAGAGCCGTAGGATAGAGACCATCACTTTACATTTGTGATGTTAAAATGGTATTAAACTTTCGTGTAATTGTCAGAATCCATAACAGATTGGATGATTTTTAGAGAGCGTTTGTGTATAGTAGGCATCATAAATCAAAACGATATTGGTGATAAACCTTTTAAAGGCAAAATTTTGTGAATACTCTTCATTATTCAAAACTGCAAAATAACTATCGTAAGTTATTATTTGTGCTGTAAAAATAAGTGTTTTGGATGAAAAGGTATTTTGTGCTCTGATTAATCTTTTAACATTTCTATACTATACAACTTATGAAGTAAGACTATAAAATATATTTATTTTTCCTACAACCCTCTAATCAGTAAAAACAGTTTTTGTCAAACACAACCACTGAACACAATATATGTTATAAAATACATTTACTAGGAAATCAAGGTTTTGCTATTTTAATTTACACCTATGTTCACTTATTTGCAGCTTTATGTTGATTCGTGTCATTTTTGCAAAATAAAGCCTACATATTTCGGATATCATGTTGAATTATTTTCATATATGCATTTAAAATGCTTCCGCACACCCATTTAAAATTGGTTGAAAACGGGATTCTTTTTCATAGTCATTAAAATAACAATTCTTATCGTAACAATAGTGATATTTTTACTTTTAATATGACAAAGTCCTCGAAATTACTGGTTTTATACTAGCAAACTAAGATACTGTGTTATTTTATATATAAGGATCTTAAATTGCATTTGATAGAAATACAGATTATTACTATAAGACAACATTCTAGGTCGAATATATATCAAATCTAATACATGTAGGCAAAACTATTTCTTACAACATAAGAGTCAGTAATATTGAGATATCCAATACTTAATTTTCTTTATCATAGATTTAATTCACCAGTTTATGCAGATTCTGTAGTTATTAAACAATGTGAAGTAGTTGGTTTGGGCGACGACAGAATAAGGCTCATGAAAATAAAGAAAGAATGAATCGTAATCGTAATTAAAAGTTCAACAACTTGGACTATTGGGAAAACAGACGATATTCAGTTTAGAACAGTAAATATTCTTATGAAAGATTTTGTTTGGTTTGCCTTAGGAAACTGATATTTCAAACAAATAAATACTCTCAATAAGTGCTCTTGAATATATCTTTGAACTGTTTAGCTTAGGAGTCAATCTCATCTTTGTTGTTTGCATAGAAACCTTATATTTATTAGAGATAAAGAATGATAAAATAGGTTGTGTTTCATCAATTATCAAGATATATTCGTACAATGCCAGTGAACTGAGTAAATCAACACATTATGTAACTCGCTATAAACTGTAATCATTTATACTTTTTATACTACTTATGTATACTTCCGATTACCTGCACGTTGGGACAGCTATATTTAAAATGTTGTACACTGAAATATGAATTCCATGAGCAAGTGGAAAAGTACACATTATCATACATTGATATTAAATCTCTACCATTATCTAATGTTGTAGGATACATATGATCGTATGAAACCGTCAAATATGTACAACGACATGTCAAATAAAGCAAGGTAATAAATTATCTTCACTAACAGCATTCTAACAATTATTCCTTCTGTACGTTATCAACGTGGTGAAATTAGTGATCTATTCAGTTATTTTTACAATTGTTTTCTCAATATAAACATTATTAACACGGAGCAACATGAAAATACATTTTTATTTTCACTAAATAATAATATGTACGCTTTGAAAGTTATTTTAATTATAAAAACTGTTTTTATTAACTTAGTCGTTGATTTTCTCAACCTGTTATTTTCTACAAATAATGATCAATGATAAATTCATTTCAAATGAAATACTGTTTCCTTATATCTTTTATCATTGTAGATACCATAAGAAAAGCCTAGAGATAAATCGTGATTGGTGATTAATCTGTGTTTCTTAAATCTTATCGATAGGTTTGTAGTAAGGGTTTTTGCAAATTACAAATAGCGTTCATAGATACGATAGAAGTGAATTATTGCATTCACTTTAACGGGTAGACTTTGTCAAACGTTTTGTTTACTTATACAACACATTTGATCGTTTTTTCATTTTCGAGCAAGTAAACCTACAAGATTGAAATATATTATGGTATTAATTAATGTTGAAGACTTCTTATAATCATTTTTTAAAATTTATGATAAAGAAAGTGAACAACCGGTTATTTTTTATTCTTGTCTTTCCAATAAAGGTCGTATTCAAAATGGAATGATTACGATCGCTCGCGTCCGATCAATTCGTACAAGGTTGAAGATATTTCATACAACAGGTAAAAGCAGTCCATTAGTTCTTGCCTCCATAAATAGCAAACAGAATTGAATTTTTAGAAACAGATTAGCAAACATTTGACTGCTCTTTCATTGTTTCCCTACAAAATTTATTTACTTATCATTTTTTATTTCTTAAAGTTAGTTCAGTTAGGCCTATGGTAATTCATGGTTAAGAATGATATAGATTTCCTAACACGGAATATTATTAAAAACAGGATGATATTGCCACTGACACACACAACGATTAGACAACGACCCTCAGACAGTAAAACTCATGAAGAAGGCAAGATATTAGTCGAAGAGGAAACTGCAACAGAACGACCCCAACTATGTAGCAATAAAGCCTGACCTCCAGTAGATAGAGGTTATCAAATTAAAAGTAAAAATAACAAATCAGAATAAAACATCAAATGTCTTGTTGAAATGTGAATTATGGAAAATTTTATTGTGATTGTACTGACTGAAAAAGATTAAAGTTTAACAAACATTGGTTTATCTGTGATTTTCATTACCATCAGTAACACATTTTACATATGAACATAAAAAGAACTCAAGTCAAAGCAGATACAAAGCCAAACAGAATTGGTATCACAACTAGCTGATATGTCAAAGGCTTTGTTCTATCAAATAATATGTAGTTTATTCTCTGAGTGAACAAAATAGGGCAATAAAATATACAATATAAGGATACGTTTACTTAAAAACTAAGTATTGCATTATTCACCAAACTTGGGCATGACTTCAACATACATATCTCCAGTAAAATAATAATTAGCAATTGCCACAGCGTTATTGATACACGTTAATGAGAAAATGACGATAATTGAGGATAAAAATATGCATGATATTTCATTACATAAGAACATTAAATCAGTTAGCTCACAATAACAAATTCACCAAGTGATTAATTTTGAAAACGTTTTTTAATTACTTATAAAAGTAGAAATATTCGGGACGGATTCGAGCCACAAAACGCCTCTCCATACGCAAAGAATTTAATGGGTGATTTACCAGCGACTAGGTGAGTGCTGTAATGTCTCTGCAAAATCGTACTTTTCAATATGTCAGTAATTTTCCACGAAACAATCAGTACTACGTAAAAACATAACACATTATAAAAGTGACTGTATGCTGAATTCTAAGGTAAACTGTGGTAGTTTAGATCTATTGAGTATTTTAACAAACTCTTACAACCATTATGAGTTTATAAAGACACACAAAATATTATCGACGAGTAAGCAGAATATCAGCACATACTTAAACTAGTTATTCGTTTTTAATGAATTTAGACAATGATTTCTACAAATGATTTATATTGTTGTGTTTTTAAATACTTCTCAATACAGAATTATTCGAGACGGATTTGAACCGCGCCACGCCTCTCCATACGCAAGGAATTTAATGGGTGATTTACCAGTACCTAGGTGAGTGGTAACATGTGCATATAAACACGGAGGTTTTGTATTACTAACTGATTTCTCCTGTATCCTATTGACAATCGTTTACTATCGCCCATTACCTTATTGATTTGTTTAATGAAAATGTCAATGATAACTGTCATTTATTGTGGTAGGTCTGTTAGCTTTACTTTAATGAGGATTTTTTAACAATATTGGAAAATAGGATTTCTCGATTGTTTTGGATATCAGATTATGTTTTGGAATGCATGTCTCTGTGTCTCAGATTGACAGTAGTTGATTAATTTCAGTGATGCAATGCATTTATTGGGATGTAGTAAACTGTGTTAATTATCGTAGTGTTTTAGTTAAGTGTTAACGTTACTGTGTCTGATTGTTTGATTGATATGTTTTCTGCTTTTGTCAAATTGTGTTGTAAGTTTTTTCGATTCATTGTTCTTTGTGTCTACTACATGTCGTTATTCGTAGTATTATTAATGCTTTACTTCAAGTCGAGTATTTCGCAGCAATTTCCTCAAATAATTCATTTCAAATTCGCATCTTTTAAATAATGTTTAATTTAGAAACACTCATACTGGATATGAACCGCGCCGCTTATCCCCATATGCCAGTCGTTCAAATAATTTAATGGGAGATTTGCCAGATGTTCAGTGAGTAATGTTTGTATAAATGTGGAAGTATTGTAATATTAATTTGCTAATTGCTTCATTTATGTAAAATCTGTTTTTCAGTAGATGAGATAGTGTCAAATTCGCAGAGAATCGGAACGGGAAGACTGTTGTTCTAATGTTGATTATAGAACGTTGACGAGTTTTTTATTTCATCTTCCGTAACACATTAACAACTTTAACCAATACTCTCATTTATGTATCGATTTCACTCCCATTTTATTATTTCATTACAAGTGACACATATTGAGATAAATATTTCTAAACTGTCAAGGGTCTCTAAATTACCATGGATACATTATATTCTTCCTTCAGACATGCTGCCTGATAAGTTAAGTCGACAACACAATCTTTTTCAACATCCGCGTTTTTCATCGTTTCACCAGTTCAATATCATTCTGTAACTTGATAATCTATTTGAGTTTTCCTCTCACGTAGTAATGAAATAATGATTACTCTTGTTATGCATTTGACAAACTTTGTTTGCATTAGACATAAGTATATTACAGTTGAAGTGAACTTTATATATTTAAACAATATGTTATCTCCTGGATTCGCCATTAATTTTATACGAATAAGTAACATAGTTACTATCAGATTTATTAGATAACCTTGGACAGCTAAAACAAGTGCTAAAACTGAAAACAACTGCCCGACCACTTTTCAAAGTGATTGTCTCATGAAAAAAAGTTCGCTTGGACTCATCAACTTTTGAACCCATATTTAGTTTGGCCAATGTAATCATAAACAGATCTTTATTTCTTCCATAATAAGCATCATGAACTGTACCGAATTTCAAGGTGAAATAAAGCTTGAAAACAAACTTCAAAGCTGCATTTACTTCATCTGATAAATTGCCAGTTGAAGAGTAATGATAGTTTAAAGACAAGGTATCCATTAATTATTGTTCCTAGTCTTCTGATCGTTTTTGCTGTTGTTGAGTTAGAGAAGTGGTTTGGCAGTATTACTTGTGAAAAATATATCTAAATTATTTTCTTATCACCAATGTTAAAACCATGAATTTACTGAGTTTTGAAAATCTAATCCGCTTCGAAAGAATAAGAAGTTGTTAGAAAACGATGAATGGATGAGGTCACATTTTCCACTCTGTAAGTTTTGCCCAGTATTAATTTCATTTTCAATCTAACCGGACAATTGTTTAGTTTAACGTTTGATTTATCGTCAGTATGGTGTCTTATGAGGTATAGCAGTGGTTTTACTTTAATCGCAAATTTATTTAAAATTATATCTTTTGTATTGATTTAGTGTGATTTTACTTTACATAAGACAGAGCATGATTGATTATGTAATAACCACTGTATTTCGTTAATACCATGAACCAATCAATGTTAGATTATCATTGAAAACTTTAAAGAACCGAAGGGCCGTTTTGTCCTAGTATGGGACGCCTCAACAGTGTACATTCACGAACCTGTATGCGAAAATCGAATACAAGACCCTTAGGCTCGCTCGCGAACATCTAACGTCTGGACTATTGAAACAGCATCCAAAGGTTTCTATGTCTAGCTTCAATGAATATGCGATATTACGCGGCCATCTTCCATCGGTTCAATGGGAACTGTCTTTGTGGTTCGTATATCGTGTGATGATCCTATCAAAATCTACATGCAGTTAACCCACGTATCTTACTATCGATTTAATTTCCGTCAGTGAATAACGGGCTAAAATATGTCAAATACCAGAATGAATTTCGAATACGAATATTTGTCATTGATTCAGACAAGCAAAAGGAGAAACGAAGCGGAGAAGCAGATCATAGAACGCAAGCGTTTCATAAAACCTGACTCAATATTTATAGCCAGATAAAAATATTCTAAATACATATGATGAATAGGGTAAACGATACACACATACGCTCATATAAAAGTAGTCATGGTTAGTAAGCGAATAATTTGCAAGGTTAAAATGAAACTCAAGAAGAGTAAATAAATTATTCTGTTCGAAATCTAGGACAACCCATGTGGACTTGACATAGCACTAGACACCACACCGTTTCACAGCCGACACATTAACTTCACGGTTCTCTACTAGAACTCCGAAAATTTTACGTCATAGCCAGCCACTAGTGGGGAGGTGATGGATGTCAACTAAGTAATCCAGAAGTTAAACATTTGTGTGAGAGCCTATAGGTCCTGTATTCGATTTTCGCACTGAAGCACGTGGTTGTGTATTGCTGAAGCGTCCCCTACTTGAATGAATCGTCCTTTAGATTCTTTAAAGTTTTCAATGATGGTCTATCATTAATAGATTCATGATTTCAATGCAACTCAACGATCTCCACAACTTCTTACTAACAATTTGATATGTTTTTACTATTTGTGATATTTATTGATTAATTAAAAATGGGAGTAAAATCAACACGTAACTGAGAATGTCGGTTAAAGTTGTTGATGTGTTAGCGAAGATGAAATAACTCCTTATCTACATCAATAACTATTTTCTTATTCAGTGATGGAAACCACAGATTTTTCTTATATTAAGAAATTGTTTGTCTAGTAATTACAGCAATTGCAACGTATATTTATTATTATATTCTCTTACTATGTTGAGACCATTTCATTTCCAGGAATTACACTACCAAATTTTATTCATTTGGCTTGTAGTGAATGTCTTATATGTGGTCTGTCGATTGAAGTTCTGCTTTTTCTTGTTTAATAACATGTTATTTGTAGCTAACTTTCTAGTTAGCTTTTTGATAATTTGATTTATATAAATTTTTTTTATAGAATATGGTTATGATTAATCTAGTGCTCTTGTTTTCTTTTTTCGTTCCACTTTTGATATTCAACTGTCTACATTATGTATATGATTATAACAGTTAGTTACTTTATGCCATTATATCTTGGTTTGTTCCTTTACTTTTATTTTACTACAGACACAGTCGGGAAACTTGTGAACCTCACTATATTCCTGTGAAATTTAATCGTTCAAATAATTTATCGAGTAATGTGCCAGAACCTAGGTCAGTGATATAATGTCTGCACAAATAATGATAGTTTATAAAAATTGCTTTTCAATATTTTATCTAATTAAAACGAATGTTTAAAATTACATTTTTTTGAGCAAATGTTCTATTCGTTAGTAGGATTCATGTAGTATTTGGCGATTAAATTTAAACATGATCGTTGTAAATAATTTACCCAACTTATTTTCCTAGTATAATCGAAACAAAGTAACTTGAGTAGACTTCAGGCGAGCTTCTAGTGTCTAAGTACAGATTAAAATAAATATTTACATATTCCAAGTCTATAAATAACTACATGATACACTTGTTTATATGAGTTTAAAATCACATTTTTTTCAAGTCAATAAATTTAGACGGTATACACAAAAACGCATATTCATTCACTTGTCAATAAGTTAATCACAAAATCTGTATTCTTACCAGGCGGTTACAGTTTAGTTGGTTTCGTTGAATAAGAACTGTTTTGATAGTGAAGTTTGTAAACAAACTGATTGAAAAATTCCAGAGTAAATTTAAGCTGAAACTCTAAATTCCTATCGTTTATATTACAAAATATAGACTAATATATTTGTTTGAAAATATTTGACCAATTCTGCCTACCTTTAATAATACATGATTTATACGATTGGATTCTATTTGTATGTGATTTTACTTTTCAGTTTGTAAATTAATCATTACCATTTATTTTAAATTTATTATTTGCAGTTGTTTTATTTTAGTCAGCTAATTGCCATTGTGTGTAACATTTCAGTAAATGAATAAAATACTAAACACAATAAGGAATGACTAATGATTTAATATTGTGCGTTAAAAACACTTTTAAAAAATTAGGAGATTAGAGCAGTGATGATTTACTGAAAAATTATACATCTAACTGATGAATAATGTCACATCAGAAATGTTTTATGGTGTAGGGGCTGGTACTATGTCAAGTTCACAATGATTATTCTAGCCTCTTGACAAATTAATCTGTTCATTCTTCTCTAACCATATTTCTACCATGTCGCTTATTGGCATATCAACCTCATTATTTCTATGTAAGCATATGTATGTGCATTTCTTGTCTTACTCATCACATGTCTGTAACTTATTTTTGCTGACTATAAATATTGATTGACACTTGGTTAAATGGAGTTAGCTCACACAGAACTTCTTCATGTTTGTTAGATGCCATTCTGATAGCCGTTATTCTCTGCCACCTTTGACTCACTTTTCTGTCAAGTCCAAGGTTTTAGGTAGCCATTAAGGATATTTGTCTGCATCACTCATACTGAGTCCACAACATGTGAAATTACCAATTAATAAACGCTTAAGATTTATGTAATATTGTTTAGCACGATGATACTTTGAGGACAAGGACTGACTTTATGCTCTTGGGATAGTGGAAATCAAATATTGTTTTTATTCTGTCCATATAATCACTTTCTGGGTGGTCATGTGATTTGATCAGGATGCTTAAATAAATACTTTTACAGTGAAAGTTGTTACGGAATCCTTAAAAATGTGTAACAAATATTATTTCTCAGATTTTCCCATTTATGAAAACAAACCTTACACTTCATCAAGTGCTTAATGACAATGATTTGTATACTATAGCTAAGAATATGACCGCACTTAAATTCCACGTCACTTTTTCCTCCGAAAAACATGCATACACTAGTGAGCATCTACACGTAAACAATTTTCAGGAGTGATTTACCAGCAAGTAGGTGGGTGCTTTAATATCTAAATAATACATCAAGTTTGGAATTAAGGTAAAAAGGTTCAAAATTCGGAGTAAATTTTAAAATGTTTCTGCAAAAATGTACTTTTCAATATGTCAGTAATTTTCCACGAAACAATCAGTACTACGTAAAAACATAACACATTATAAAAGTGACTGTATGCTGAATTCTAAGGTAAACTGTGGTAGTTTAGATCTATTGAGTATTTTAACAAACTCTTACAACCATTATGAGTTTATAAAGACACACAAAATATTATCGACGAGTAAGCAGAATATCAGCACATACTTAAACTAGTTATTCGTTTTTAATGAATTTAGACAATGATTTCTACAAATGATTTATATTGTTGTGTTTTTAAATACTTCTCAATACAGAATTATTCGAGACGGATTTGAACCGCGCCACGCCTCTCCATACGCAAGGAATTTAATGGGTGATTTACCAGTACCTAGGTGAGTGGTAACATGTGCATATAAACACGGAGGTTTTGTATTACTAACTGATTTCTCCTGTATCCTATTGACAATCGTTTACTATCGCCCATTACCTTATTGATTTGTTTAATGAAAATGTCAATGATAACTGTCATTTATTGTGGTAGGTCTGTTAGCTTTACTTTAATGAGGATTTTTTAACAATATTGGAAAATAGGATTTCTCGATTGTTTTGGATATCAGATTATGTTTTGGAATGCATGTCTCTGTGTCTCAGATTGACAGTAGTTGATTAATTTCAGTGATGCAATGCATTTATTGGGATGTAGTAAACTGTGTTAATTATCGTAGTGTTTTAGTTAAGTGTTAACGTTACTGTGTCTGATTGTTTGATTGATATGTTTTCTGCTTTTGTCAAATTGTGTTGAGATAGAATTTGTTGAAACTTTGATTGGTACATTGTTGTTTGTTTATATTGTATGTTTTTGTTTGTGGTTATGTTTTAGTATCGCGTTTTAGTATTTATAATTCCCTTAAACGCACTTTGCGGATTGCTTTTTACTGTACAACTATTTATAGTATCCACGTTTTACTTATTTGATATTCCTGTTTATCAAACAATAATTTATTTTTAAATGTTTTTATTTTATTTTTTTTTCACAATGTTTTAGTTCTGTTTCTAATAATGGAAACACATATTCATACTCTATTCCACAACGTCCTAATTTGAAAATAGTTCGCGAGTAAGTTGAATTTATTGTATAATTTATTTTCTTGATACTGTTTATTAGGCAATAAAATGCTTGTGAAAAACGAAACAAACAAGCAAACAAAGTATATTAGTATCATAGATAAAATTATTTTACCATCATACCATAGAAAGTTTGTAATAAATTCTATAATTCAGTAACTTTTAAGTATATAATTGAAATCGTTTCCTCTTTTTATAATAATTCCGTCTTTAGTATTTAACATGTCACACAGATTGTTCCAAATTGATAAAGATTATTTAATAAAAGAAGATTTATTGAGTAGTGTCATTCATAAATCTTCTTATTTAATTTGAATTAGTAACTTACAAATTTCAAATGGTTAAATAATCTAATTTCAATTTATTGTTTTATTCTAGAGAGGATACATATAACAGATATCTGGATTAGAATAAAACATAACATTAATTTCATCAGTTTGACAAAAACACCAGAAATAATAGTGGTGAGTAATATATTTAATAATATTAACAATAATAATACTTATTAACTAGTACAAAATATAACTGTAAAATGAGAAATACATTCATTTTACATTGAAAATACATTGAAATTGTGTGATTATTCTTTATCAAAATTTTAGTTAATTATAACAGAAATAAATTTCATTGAAGTCGATTTACTTGTATTGACTAGATAAATCTTTTTAATATCAAAATAGGGGGTTTGTGGGGATTGTAGTAATTTAATGGTTGAATTTATGAACTGATTTAAGCGGGATCGTGAATGTTCACCACTAAGGAGTCCTATACTAGATTGAAACTGTCGTCTAGTTCATCTAGGTTTTCTATAGTGGTTTAGCTTAAATTGACTCATGAATTCAATAATTTAAGTTATTCAAGACCATGTTTTGTGGAGTAGTATAGTTGGTTATTAAGAACTAAGCTTATATTATACCACAAAAAAGTAAAGAATTTTTTATTAATATTTAAGAAATTTCCTATAAAATGTTCATTAAATAAAAAAATACTATTTTAACATATACATAGTGACAATACCGTTTTAATACAGTTTTTAATACCGAATTTCCTGTAAAAAGTTTTCTTTTATTCTTTGTTTAATGATTGAACATTTTGTTTGTTATTTTGTTTTTTTATTTAGAAATTCTATTTTGTGATTTTTAAAATGTTTTCTTTGAATCTTCATTTTGTTTTTTTTAATTTTCAGATTTTAAACGAATAACTCAGTAGTATCATAAAGTATGAATAAACTATATATGAGTGTAGACAAATTATTTTTTAAGAATATTTAATATATCTTCGTTATATGTAAAATAAGATTTTAATTTAATCATTTATTTGTATTTTGTTTTAAATATATAAAATATTTAATATCAATTTGTTATAACTTATGGCCTGTGTGCCCTGTTAATATATAACGTAATGATACCATCAATTAGAAAGCAGTGATTTATCGATCGGGCCAATGACGCGCAAAACCTGTACGAGCAGTCCGAAGTACTTATCGGTTCTGATTCTTGCCTAGCCCAGCTAGTTAAGTCCAGAACACCAATCCGAGCCTTTGCGATATGAATCATTATATTTCAAACATACGGAGTTATATACCAATCAAACAGTTCACAACGTACCACAAATAGAAAACAACATTTGTACAAGATTTGGCCAATAGTGGCTGTAAATATGGTTGGTAGTAATTGATAGGCAGGGAATAATTCAAGAATGGTAAATCGTATAATAATAGTTCATAGGTTAAAATAAGCTTATAATAAGAGGGACACGAATATGAACGGTTTAGTTATTTAACAATTATACGACAAAAATATACGTTTACTTTTGGTCCATAATGGATCCCAAAGTTACCATCCATTATGCTTATCGGGGCATAACACAATTGTTTTGAAATTTTATGTCAATATCTAAACAATACTGATTTGAAGGATAATATTTCAGAAAATTACTGCGTAGGATATTGCAATTATTGTAATTATAGATTAACATTTTGTGAAAGTAATTTTTACAAAGAGTAGTTTTCTTAGTGCTAACAATTCTCGAAATATAATTTTAATAGTTCATGAAAGTAGTAACATGAAAGTTAAAAACCAAAAGTCAGTAAATTAATTTGATATTAAATTATAACATAGTACTTACTCAAGCACGTCAAGCCCCTCGTAGTGGAGCATAGACCGTTGACCAGCATTCTCTATCGAACTCTATCCTGGATGACCCTTTTCAGTTGTTCCTAGTTTCTATCCATCCTTTTGATCTATAGTGATGAGTTCTATTCAATTGATTGTTTAACAATGATCCATAGTGTCTCAATTTGGTCTGTGCACGACCGATCGTTACGGAATCCTGTCTGTTGATCTCGAAGCTGTATGTCCACTGAATCTTTCATCTCGTTCAGCAAACTTTTGTCAAAGACCTTTGTCGGTACTGATAGTTGTGTGATACCTCTCTAGGTCTTACATTTGTTCATATCTCCTTTCTTTGGTATCTTGATGAGGTGTCCTTTTTTCCAGTCCGTCGGCACTTGTTTCTCCTTCCAAATCTTTCTGAATACAACATGGGACAGATTATGAGATAGCATATCATTAAAAATTGTACCTAGCGTAAAATGTCAAATAATAGACATAATTAAATATTTCAGACATTTAACAAATAGGATTCAGTAGCACATAATGATATACTTAGTTATGTTAAGCAAAATGATAGGAATTAGCAATGCAAACTAAAATGATAATTTTATGTAGAAATAATCAAAACTGTAACTTAATAAATCAGCTGTCTTTTGAATAAGTATGTTTTCCTTTAAATTATTGTTATCATCATAAATATATATGCGCTATTAAATCCTGGAAATCTTTTCGTTATCAGTGAAATGACAGTTATTTTAGCAATTCAACGATTGCAAATAATCAAATATATTACATAATATCCCCTTTGGTATTGTAATATGTAACAGCTTACTTAGGCAAATATTATAAACGCAATATACTGATAAATCTAGTGCGTCCAAGCATGTGATGTCAATGAAATAATGAGAGAATTAGTCATAAAAAGGTATATGCACATAAGCGAAATATTTTGCTCAATACAATATATTTAATTGTTTTAGGAAGGAATGAATCAGCTCTTGAAGTAATAACTTATTCATTGCTTTATTAGTTCAATTAAACGTCACTATTTTCAGCAGTTCAAGAAAATCGTGAATACATCATCACATATTACGAAGATAACTATGCACACAACCATGCATTTATGAGCCATGAATTTGATGGTAAATATTTATTGACAATTTTCATCAATTTCTAACACCTGACACAAAATTCCAGTATAATGGTTAGTTAAAGTATCTTAAACAACCTCAAAGTGCATTTACTAGATGTAAGGGTGAGAAATTATATTTCTACCGTGAATACAAGTAATCGTAAACAAGTTATAGTGGTTACTTACATCTTAAATGTTTGGAACAATTTCTATGATGCAATATATTTTTCTAACAAGCACTTGAAGAATTGTTTAAATAGTGGTATTTTCTGCATTACGATGTGCTGTAAAAGATAATCGATTACAGATAACCATGAGTACATTAAAATATTATTCTATTAAATTCAGTAGTTGTCAACCACAATTTGTGAATTATTAGTAATTGTATAGTTACACCCATATTAACTGGAGTTACACAATCCATTTTAGCCTAATACAACCTTAGTAATAAAAAAAACTAATCATAACTTTCGTTCTCACAGCTGTTGAAGGATTTTGGTAATACAAAGATACAGTTGTTTACATGTACACATGCAACTTCAATGTCCTCGAAGGCGACAAGATGTTCGTACAATCTGTCGATAAACTGAGATAGAATATAATGTTTTAGTTTTTTCTGCTTTTATTATCATAATACTGAGGAGTATACCTATCCCAAAAACATGGTATTTACAGACCAAACTTGGTATGAACTCACAATATTAAAATATGAAAATGTTATAGTGTCCTGTTAATACGTCTTGTTGTTTGCATAGATTTCTTAGTCACCGGTTTAAGAGAATATATATCTACTTTAATGGCAAATTTTAAGTCATACTAATCCATCTTGTTTGGTCATAAGATTGCTAAGATAAGCAAAAAGTTTGAAAAGAAATTAATATTTGATCTGGTGGTTATATTAAATTATTAAGTCTTTAACCATCGATTATCATTGTTCATTACACGCTTAATATACACTGCAGGTATATTAAACCTAACAGTCTCCGATTGCTGAAGCTGGAAGTGCAATATCGATAACAGTAATAGTTCTATCCATAAGAAACAATGGTTGATGAGCATATATACAAACTAATATGGAGCATGTCTCTTTGTCGAAAATCCTACGATGAGTTTAACAAATACAGTGGTTATAAAAGTTTACTCATCATTAAGATGCGTGAATAATCTTAGTTGTGGAAACCAGCAGTACAACATAATTTACCGACAAATTTTGATAGTAGCATCCGTTAGTCATAGGGAATTTTGTTTTAAGTTGTGTTACATGAATATGAACGTAATTCAGTAAATTAAAGTTTGTTTTTGTTGATTGTAGTATGCTGTAAGCTATTTTCAAAAGTTTAAAATAGCATACACTTAAAAATTGCAATAGTTTTTATGCATGTACGTGATAAATAGTGATTTGAACATAGTTATTGTTAATAATTATGATCAGTCATTGAATAATAGTTGGTAATAAACAGTGAGTGCATAATATTGTGGTTATATAATGCTTAGTCAATACGGTTGAGGAAAAGTCACTTTCAAATACTTCCTGAAATTTATTAAGTGTAATATAAAGTTTAAAATCTGATTATGATCGTTGAGATATCTCTATAAGCCAACCTGACCGTTGTAACTCACAAACCATAGACAGCGATTATCTTGAAGAACAATATACAATAAGCCTTTGTAAAGTGTCTCTGAAATTAATTAAAAGCCAAGAGAAACTGTATTCTTTATTTGAGAAAAGAAGAAAGTTGGAAACGTTTTCGCTTTTACGTGATGCTAGTGTTATAGGTTTTACCATTTTAAATCAGTCTGTAACAAAACCAAAGCGTGAATTCACTTCATATCAACATCTGATCACATAAACAATGATTGATTATCAGCTAGTGACTGACGTTTTTATTGGAGCGCTGGTATTCCGACGAGAAGTCATTTATATTAGAGTTCAAAGAAGTTGAAACCATATAAGATATTACCTGTAAGGTAGATTATCGCCCTAAAGCATCGCGAACTGGCTCAAGCGAATCGTTATATTCTAACCCTTTGCAGAGAGCCAGCCAATGTGGCTATGATTTATGGATCCAGTATATAAAGGGACTGTGGGTGAACTATGTAAAGGAGTCCTAGACGTAAACAAAACAACTATCATTTTCCGCCGGCTTACATTTGGTATCTGGG